TTCGTCCTGCCAGTCCAAGCGACGCGACGGTGCGTTCCGACTAAGAACAAATGTATTCAAATAATTTTATATCTTTCCTAAAATAAATTCAAGAACTCAAATTCAAATTCGTTTATTCATGTCAATAAACACAATTATGTTTGCAAGGGTCATGTGGTAGATGGTAACAATTGAACGAGGGTCATAAAAATATCTTATGGGGTCAAAATAAGAGGAAACAGTTAGGTAGTTTTTGCAAAGCAATAAACAGGTAGGCTTATACCTGGATTAAGTACATGTGTTATCTACTGTAATAGGTAGATGGAGGTGATGCTGCCAGAAATGGATAAACAAACCACAAGATTGAACTGCCGTGTCCCATGATTTTTGTATTGCCTTTTTTATTGTCTTACTAGAAAAATCTGTTGGGTATATGATGGTGTTTACTAAAACTTTACAGCTTGCTGTCTGCCTTCTTCTACAAACTTCACCAAATCGAGACGCTGTCAACCTTATCCTCCGATGAAGACGCCTCAAAGCACAGTCCTGTGATTTGGTGACTGTTCGATCTGCAAAATCTCGTCGACACTTCTTGCTTAGCAACCTCCAAATCAATATCGTTCATGTCAGGTTTTTGACAGAATTCGCCATAAAACTATTCATTTTCTTTGGAATTGCTATCCGAATTGTTAGTTATTTTTATATAAGCTTTTTTTGGTTTGAGTTTATTTTTAATATTCTTGCGTTTGAGTCTGTGTTCCATCTTAGTGATATGCGAGGTTGGACTAAGCTTAGAACGCAAATTTATTTGGACCACATAGACAGGCCGCTCGGTTTTGTGGCTCACTACAGCTGCAGCACATCTTCCATGGTATGACCTATTCTTGCAATAATTTATTCGCCTAACCCAATGTATTTTGCGATTATAGAGTTGAACCGCTCCACACTATTGTTGTCCTCATCATGAATTAAACTCACTGCATTTGTAATTAAAATGGTCTCATATGACCCTTTATTGTCCATTATCAACCTTGATAAAAAAAGGCACTCAAGAACAATCACACCAACAAGAGTACACCACAACAATTCAACAACACAATATCGACGAACAATAACAACGGTAGAACAATACTAAATGTTCACTTGCTGAGTACCGAAATAGGAAACGATTTACAGGCTAGATCGCTAATCGAAATCCGACTCTGTTATTATAAAAATTTACCTCGGTACGCACCCGCAGTCATCCTTTCCTCTTTTAAAGTAGCGCCGACGAGCGTCTAAGGCCAGCCTACCCTCGTTTCCTTTTCACCCCCCGTTACCTCAGCAGATGGTGCTCGTGATTGTAGGAGCCCCGTTAACGAAGTTAGCCGTTTGACCGTCTGCCTCTATGAATAGTACGAATACTTTGGCTAGTGTAGCGCTTTAGGGTCATTCCCTCATACACCGAAGCGACGCGACAGCGTGTAAGGGACAGTGTGAGTTCCCTAAAGAGCGAAAGCCAGACACGGGAAAAAATCAGCAGCGACGCGGAACGTTCGTTGGTCCCAACCTAGCGAGTCGCAAAGATAAATTACCTGGGGCTGTTATTAGGAGCGAGAAAATCATGCAGTGCTTTATCAAAGTATACAGAGCACTATAGTAGGGTCGTGGCCGAGGTAAAAACAGTTTTCTCATGCGTCTGTGTCTCCACCTGAGAACAGCTACAGGCGCACTGAAATGTGCGTTATTCATCGGCTAGAGTACCTTTCTTGTTCATAATGCTGTCCGTCGATGAAAAAAAAGTCATGTATTCCTCGATTCCTTCAAAAGTACATATTTCTTTGAAACATAAACAAAAATTAAATTTGGACATAGCAAATCGATGCTATCGCATGCGAGACGCTCAGCTACGCGCTGCCAGAATAACGTATGTCCTAAGAGTCTTGGCATAAAGTTCGTTTTCTTTAATCTTAGCAAACACAAAATAATATCAAGTTGCCTTTAAACAAAAGTTTGTAATGTAAGTGACTTACTTCACTGTCAGTAAGGCTATAGGGAAATAACACTGATCAACAGCCAAAAAATATCCTAAATAAAATCAACAAAATATTACTATTTTTAATGTGCTAACACCGAAATGAAACTTATTTTTTCAATATTAGTTCAAGTTTTAGAGATTCGGTAATTAAATGTGTTCCTGCTGTGACAGTGTTAATATACTGTAATTCACAAGAAATGCAAGTGCTACATTTTTATATTCGGCAAGCGTTCATGCAAGATGTCTCGAAAGTGTGTAAACAATCCAGATCAGTTTTGTTACGTGTGTGGTGATGTGACTTTTGCGTCTCAGTGACGGTCGACTACTCCACTAATAACAAAGGCATATCAGCTTTATTTCGGTTGTAAACTAGGTGACCAAGACAAACAGCGGGCAACCCACATCTGCTGTAATACATGTGCTTCAAGTCTGAGGAGCTGGTTAAATGGCAAAAAACGGTCTATGCGCTTTGCTGTCCCAATGGTTTGGAGAGAGCCTACAAATCATATTAATGATTGTTACTTTTGCATGGTACCTTGTTTTGGACAAGTCACAGGTATGTCCAAGAAAAAAATATCGGTTATTAACTACCCAAAGATACCATCTGCGATGAGACCTGCCTCACAGTGACGAAAATCCTATTCCAAAACCCCCAGAATCCTACACTTGCGAATCAGAAAACGAATCAGATCATGGCGATCCAGTGACTCGTCAGGAAGAAGATATGCCATCAACGTCAAGAGATCCTGATTTTATACCGAGCACGTCATGCCACCAACCGCACAAAATAACACAGTCAGAATTAAATGATCTTGTAAGAGATTTAGAACTTGCAAAATGTAAGGCAGGGTTACTTGGATCAAGACTGCAGCAGTGGAACTTGTTAGAAGACGGTGTTTCGGTATGTGATTTTCGTAAACGCCACAAAGACTTAGAACCATCTTTCAATATTGAGAATAACTTGGTTTTCTGCAGTAACATTAACCGCTTACTGGCGGCTTTAAATATAAACTATAACCCAGAAGAATGGAGATTGTTTATAGACAGTTCAACATTTAGTTTAAAGGCAGTGTTATTGCATATTGGAAATATTTTACCATCTCTTCCTGTAGGGTATGCAGTTCAGATGAAAGAATTATATGACAATATGAAGTACCTATTGACATGCATAAAATACGATGAGCACCAATGGCATATTTGTGGCGATTTGAAAGTTGTTGCACTTTTACTTGGGCTGCAGCTAGGCTACACAAAGTTTTGCTGTTTTTTGTGTGAATGGGACAGTCGGGCAAAGGCACTTCATTACACCAGACAAAACTGGCCTGTTCGTCAATTCCTAGAGCCAGGTCAAAAAAATGTACAGCATATGCCATTAGTAGATTCGAAAAAAAATTTATTACCACCACTGCATATCAAGTTGGGCCTAATGAAAAACTTTGTCAAGGCATTAGATAGAGATGGGTCAGCTTTTCAATACCTGCGTCAGAAATTTCCAAGACCAAGTGAGGCAAAGGTTAAAGAAGGTATTTTTGTTGGGCCACATATTCGAAATATTTTGAAAGATACACAGTTTGAAAACACTTTAACAGATATTGAAAAAACTGCTTGGAATGATTTCCGTCTGGTGGTCACTAATTTCTCGGGAAATAGAAAAGCTGACAACTATAAAACCCTTGTCAAAAATATGCTGTCATCATATCAAAAGATAGGCTGTAATATGTCTCTTAAGATACATTTCCTACACTCACACCTGGACTTTTTTCCTGACAATTGCGGAGCCGTAAGTGATGAACACGGCGAACGTTTTCATCAGGATATTTCAACAATGGAAAAAGGGTACCAGGGAAAGTGGAATCCTTCCATGCCTGCAGACTGCTGTTGGACTCTTGGTAGAGATGCTCCAGAAACGATCCATAAAAGAACAGCAAAAAGACAGCGCATATAGTGATTCTTATAAGTATTTGAATCTTGTTACTTTTTTTAATATATCCTTAACACGTTCGCGGACACTCTATGTGGCTAGTGTGTGCCGAATGAGGCACTGACGCTATAAGCCGCGCTAGTCACTGTGCCTATTGGGACAGTGACGGCACTTGCCGTCAATTACATATAGTGCTCTAACTTCATTTTGCTGTATACCACGTCAATTCTGCGTATATTAGGAGGTTAGGTGTCCCACTGGACACCTACTGCCAAATAATAAGTGTAGTAGATTTTTTGTAAGAGAGGGAGGGCTACATCTTCGGACATCGGTAGTCATACGTATACGTGTTGGCAGTATGAGTCTGTTCGTTATCGAGAGCGGATGTATGCATTCGAGCTACAGCAAAATGGACAATAAATATAGAGAGCAGTGGATGCGCTGGTATGAAGAGAGTGAGAGTGAAGATGAAAGCAGACATGATCCATATAGTACAGATGACTCCATTGCTGATCCAGAATATATGCAACAGGACTCAGACTCTTGTACTGATTCAGAATACGAGAATATTCCAAACAATGATGAGCGTAAGTTCATGCGCATTTTTCCCATACACATTAGTTACGTTTATTTGTAAATTTTAGGTGGAACATCACGAAACAAGCGTAAACGGAAAGAAACTAAATCAAAAGTTGATTTGCCGACAGGACATGTCGATAGCGAGGGCTCTGATGATATTGATGTTCTATTAGATCCAGATAACGATGAACAAAAATGGGAAGATAACATAATCAATTGATTAGAGTTTTCCTTTGATTCCATGCAGTTGGTGTGAGAGAACAGCTAGCAGGCAAGCCTTAAATTGAGAATTTTGAAAAAATTTGGACTGTGGATGTGACTAATTACATTGTTCAAAAGTCAAATAAATATGGTGAATTATTATTTGTGGGCAATAGGCCTAAGTCCAGAAACGAACGATTCAAGACATTTCAACATATTTCCGTAAAAGAAATGAAAGGTTTTCTCGGTTTGTGTCTCCTTGCTGGCTAGTTGAAGTTCAAGTCTATTAGGGAGATGTTTTCAATGGATCCTCTCAATTATCATCCGATATTTCCGGCTACTATGTCAGGTAGACGATTTGAACAGATTCTGAGGTACTTGAATTGTGCAGATGATGAAAATAAGGAGGATAATCTCTATAAAGTTAGTTGGCTTGTGAAATCTATCATTAAGTCAAGCCAAAATATGTTTTCTCCGCCAGAAGCTTTATCTCTAGATGAATCACTGTTACTTTTCCGAGGCCGATTACGGTTTCGGGTTTACATAAAAAACAAAAAAAGTAAATATGGGATTAAGTTCTATGAGCTGTGTTCCAATGACGGATATGTCCTAAATATAGAAATTTATAAAGGTAAATCTAATAGAGAAGATGTCAGGGGCAGTTCTAAAATAAATTCTTTAGTTCTTAGGCTTCTGGAGCCATTTCGAGATAAAGGCCACCATATATACATGGATAACATTTATAACAATGTCCAGTTATCGGAAATCCTATTGCAAAGGAAAACTCACAGCACAGGGACATTCGCTCGAATAGAAAAGGTAATCCCAAAGAGGTTACTGGAGCCAAGTTGAAATCTGGGCAACATATTTGGAGAAGAAAGGGAAATGTGTATGTTTCCAAATGACGCGACAAACGTGATGTCTTATCCATCACGACGGGCTATAAGGCTGAATTGGTTGAAACTGCCAACAGGTATAGTCATAAAAAAACCAAGCCTTAATGGTCAGTTGCTATAATGCAGATCAAATGGTTAGCTATTATTCATGTCCTAGAAAAACAATCAGGTGGCACCAACAGGTTATATTTCATCTTCTTGATATAGCTGTCTGGAATTCCCATTATTTATATAATCATAGCCAGAAAGATAACAAGACGTTCAAAGAGTTCCGAAATGATTTAATAAAATCCTTACTTGGGATCTCTCCGGATCAGAGAGATGGAAGGGTATTTGTCAACTTGATGAAAAAAACAAAGTCTTTGCCATCCAAAAAAAGTAGAGAAAATTTGGGCCACGTTTTGGAGGCTATACCTGTGCCAGAAAACAAAAAAGGTAAAAAAAAAAGATTTACAAACTCTGTAAACAGTGCTACCTAGAACAAAGGAAGAAGGAGACTGCATGGCAATGCCGTGATTGTATAGGAAAACCATCTCTTTGTATTGCAGACTGTTTTCAGGCTTGGAATAAAGCTTGATCACATGTATTGAAAGCACCTAAGTATTTATTTTGCTGTTGGACAATGAATAAAATTTAAGGAATATGTATTTATTTTGCGTTGGTACACACACTTATTCATAATAAAACTTGTTTCTGTACTGCTCTGGTTATTGTTCATGACTTCAATAGAAAACAGGTAATTTAAATGAGTTAAACAAGCAGCTATTCGCATGCGGCATATGCCGTCAAGTATCCCATGTGAGTGAAATGGGTGCGTAGTGGGACATGACGTCATATACCGCATGATTTTTTTTCATCATATCTGCATGTGTGAAAAATTCCTGTTTGAATGCTATTTGATTCATTTTTCTATGTTTGATATGAAATAATTTATCAACGTGACATTTTGAGCACACCTCAAGATTTCTCAGTGCCCCGCTAGAAAACAGTTCAATGACGTGATATGCCGTCAGTGTCCGCGAACGTGTTAAAAATAAAAGGTTTTTTTTCTAAACCGCAACTAATTTTTTTATTTCATTGTCATTTTTGGATTCAGCGCCCCAAAATTAACAAAGAAGTGCACTTTTCCCACAAGATACAATTAAAAAACTAAAATTTGTTGTCCAGTGAATTGATTAAATCTGGAGGGAAAAACCTCACCCTAAACATCACTTGATTGCAAGGTATCATCGAGCTATCTCTCAAAGCTAAACTTTCATAACCTACAAAATTTTTTCGTCCTTGGCATATTAGTAACCTTGTGTAAAAATTTCATCCGCATCCGAGAAATACTTTGCAGGTTATAGATCGGCCTAGGATTAGCGGACAGACAGACTGACAGACCGAGGTACACATATCCCAATTTCGATTTTTTTGTGCGATTAGCATACTTGCTTCCAAGCAGCCGTGAAAGGAAAGTTTAGGAGAAAATTCGTTCTCCGTAACGAGTGTGCCTCGTCCTTTGCATTTTTTTTTTTCACAGGAATAGGCAAGGGAAATAGACAGTTTGAATATAGACGGCTTAGTTATTGCTGTCTGTAAGCTTCTTTAGGAGCGAGAATATCGTGCAGCGTTCTACGGTGTTCGCGCTAAATTACGGGTTAAATAAAAGTAATGACCTCTGTTGCAATTAAGGTTAATTTATCGTGCAGGGTGCGTTCTGCCTCTTCTCTGCTCTACTAAGAAAGGTTTGGGCATCAAGTGTACGAGAAACGGTGATTAATGGGGAAGATGCATCACAAGCAATCAACGAAACCATTATTTCGTAAAAACTCGGATGATGAATCTAGGGCTAGGGGCTCTTTAGGATTTGGACTTTTTTTTCTAAAGGACACCATCAGATCTTTGCACAGATGAAGAAGGTTCTTATCTATGACTCCAAAAGTTTATAATTTCATAAATGGGTGTTACCAAACCTCAGTTATTTCAAAAAAATATAGGGTTGTTTCAAGTTGGTAGTATTTTGACAGTTGGTAGCACTTCCATGCTCAACATATTGCCAGACATCTTGTGTCAAGCTTCCGCAGTGAGCAATTTCACTTTTTAACCCAGATATCCCTAGCGTACAATTTATGGTACACCGTAAACAAGTCGCGACTTTCAACGACCTGTGCTTATTTTGACGCGGTACTGGACGCCGCCGTAGAACAAGAGACCGTGAAGATCGCCGCCTAAGATTATTGGCCTTAAGGGACCGTTTCTCCACTACCAGGTTCATTGCAAATGAATGGTTTGCAGAACACGGAAGACCTATTGGCATGCGAAGTGTTTACGAAGAATGAGAAGTTTTGGCTTGTTTTCATACCGGCCACACTGGGTCCTCCCTTTAACTCGAGAACACCGACGTAATCGCCTTGAGTGGTGCAGACAACGGTCACTCTGGGATCAGGAATGGAACAGTATTGTCTTTAGTGACGAGTCTCGATTTTGTTTAGGCATGCACGATGGTCGTGCCAGGGTTAGAAGGCGACGTGGTGAAAGGAGGAATCCACAGTTTTTTGTTGAAAGACATGTTCATCACACTGTTGGAGTTATGGTTTGGGGTGCTATAGCTTATGGTTCCTTTAATCTTCATCAGAGGTAACATGAACGCACAGCGTTATATCCACGAAGTTCTAGAACCCCATCTTTTATCCTGTCTTGACACCCTGGCAGATCCAACTTTCCAACAAGATAATGCCCGACCACATGTTGCAAGAGTCACAATAGACTTCTTTCAACATAATGATGTCACATTGTTACCATGGCCACCAAGATCTCCCGACTTATCCCCAATAGAGCACGTGTGTGATATGATGGGTAGGAGATTGCTCAATTTGCAACGTCCTCCTCAGACTCTAGAAGCACTTCGAGAGGAGTTGGTGGTTGCCTGGAATGAGATACCACAGGAGGACATTGACCACCTGATCAAAAGCATGCCTAGGCGCGTTAGAGAATGAAAGAAAGGTCAAAGGGCTTTAAAGCAGTGCAATCATTTTGAAATTTTTATCATTTACTTATTATGCTTCATTAAGTACTTATACAAAATTTTATTAAAATAAAACCATTTAAACTGGGATTTATATGTCACTTAGTATATATACTATATATTTATATATATATATATATAATTTGAAGTTCGAAGCCTTCTATTGCAGCATTTTGTCAGTTATCTAAATACGCAACTTTTCCTCAATCCAAGCGACTTCGTATATAATTTGAAGCACCACGTTCACTCGTATCTGCACCTGTCTGCTAAACGATCCAATCATTAATGAAATAAGATAACATATGCCCTTTTAGGATGCGTAATTTACCACACCGTAGTGCCATTCCTCATCTCTCCGACGATAAACGAGATACGAATGGCTATTGGAAAATCATTTGAAACAAAGCCTGAGATAAGCCCTTGAGCGAATCCGGATTATGTAGCAATTTATGCTCGACCTGGCAGCGTACATTTTTCCGGACGACAACGCTCCTGCGGAAACCGGCGCGGCGCGGACAAATTTAAGAGACGACTGCTGATTCCGTTTTACAGATGTTAGGCCAAGAAACAGTGACCTTGCATGGGAAAATCTTCGATTAATTGCAACAATATTTGTTTGTGGTATCGTTGGTATAGGGTGTTCCATCCGTTCCTTCTTTTTTAATCTAAAAACCACAATTTTTATGAGTGAGAAACCGAACTCTTTATTGGAAATTGTAGGTCGGTCTTTTCCATCTATGTATGGAATATAACATCGCACATAATATGTCCACCATAGCTCCGTTGACATGCCATCATCTGAACATCCAAATTTTCGATGACTTCGCAGTATTAGTGCGTGCATGGCCGCAAGTTCGGTGCGTGTGTTGCGCTTAAGGTATTTTTCGAAATAATGCGATCTGGAAATGTCTCGCCCAATAACTGGATTCGCTTGGCGAGCTGTGTGCAAAGATCGTTGGCATCAATACTTGCCAATTTCGCCCAAAAAAATCCGTTATCACACCACGATAACGTTCGGCGGTGACCGTAACGGATTAATCCTCTTTATCCACGAAAAAGAACGATTCAAACCGCACCAGACAGTTACTTTTTGATCATGGAGAGGTTGTTCATTGTAAAAATATGCCTCGCCTGAAAAGATGATTTTAGCCGAAAATCCTTCTCCTCTTCCAAGCAATCAATTAACAAAAATACGCCGTTACTGATGGTTCGCTGTCTTCAATTGCTAGTTGGATCTTGTATGGGTGTAGGTGGAGTCCAACTTGCAAAATCCTCCATAATGTTGTTGACCTGATGTTCAATTCTTGCGAACGGTGTCTTATCAAAGTTGATGACTGTTCATCAACACTTTCACTCACGGCGGCCATTGCTTCACGTGTACGTACCGGACGGGCATGTTGATATGTTCTACTACCTTCAACTGAGTCAGTTTCCTCAAAACGATTGATAATTCACCGAATTCCACGCTCTGTGTGACGATTATGTCGACCAAATTCATCGCGAAGTTTGTACTTTTCAAAGATCTCCATTTTCGTAATATTTTTGGACGACCAAAATGCGTTCTTGCGTTGTTAAAGAATCCATAATAATAAATGGCAGACGTTTGACAGTTCATATGTGCTAAACACATGGCAGTCGACACATTTACCATGTCAAAAAATGGTAGTTGAAAAAAACAGCAATAGATGGAACACCCTATATATTGTTAATCAAAGCTTTCAGTACTTTAAGTAAGGTACTTGAAAAGTGTATGTCAGTAGTAGGAATGAACGATCAAGAATGTGCTTCGAAGATGGTATAGTAACACAAAAAATATTGATTGCAGGACGAATGAACGCTTATTTTATAGAAAATATAAATGAGATAGTGGAATCAATCGAAGATGGGGATCCAAATCTGTCACATGCAAGTTACTTATAATTCTTCTATGACACAATTCCAAACAATAAATATCAGCCATCTTTCAAAAGCTATTACAAGATTGAAATCGAGTAGAAATCCTAGTGAATTTCTTTCAAAACTAAAATGTTCTACAATTACTCCTGTTCCAAAAGTGCAAAATTATGAGTTATATACAAACATGCGGCCAATTAATGTACTGCCAGATGTCGAAAAGCTAATAGAAGGAATCGTATATGAACAAGTGATTGAATATGTTGAAGAAAATAAGATATTCACAAAATTTCAAGCAGGATTCAGAAAAAAGTATTCTACTGACATAGCAATTCAAATGGTAGTAGTTTTCAGTAACATTGTTCTTAGATTTCAAGAGAGCATTTGAGACTATTGACTGCAAGAAATTGATAACGAAATTGCATTGCTATGGATTTCAAGGTTTAGTATTCAACGTATTATAAAATTATTTAATCAATAGAAGTCAAAGAACTAAATTGGAAATACATTATCAAACGTTAAAAACAATTCGGCAGGTGTGCCACAGGGTAGCAAATTAGGTCCATTACTATTTATTTT